AAATCCTCCCTTCCCTTGCTGTCTGTCCTTTTTTTTTTGCTACCAGGGATCGAACTTGGGTCTTTGCACTTGTGAGGCAGGTGATGGCACCACTGAGCTAAATTCCCAGCCCTGCGCGCCATTCTTTATAATGGCTAAGCAATCTGAGGTTTACGGAGGGAAAGTACCCCACCTGTGCACACCCAATTTGAGTTCTGGAGCCAGACCCAAGCCTTACTGGTTTTAGAGCCTAACTTACAAGCATACTGCCCAGCCTCTGCCACCTCCCTGGGATGACCCACATGTCCTGCTCGAGTGCCATCTTCTAGCCTTCTCTTCCTTCTCTGACCTCACCTGTGCCAGCCCCGCCCAACCATTCCTCCCCCACCAGGTGCACCTGTGGCTGAGCTCACTGCAGCGGTGCGGCAGGGGCCCCTGAGCAGTGATAGTGGACATTGAGCCACTTGCCATCCCGGCGGTGCCAGACCCGAGTCTCCTCTGACTGGCTGGTGCGAGGCCGACCCTGCCCGTCGATGTACTGGGTGAGCCGGATGTAGGCGATGCAAGCTGCGTCCTCCCCGATCACATGGACGTGTGGATTTAGGATGGTGGTATGGATGGGTTTGCTGTTCTTGGACAGGACTGCAGGGGGAGGTAGGAGGGTGTCAGGTTGGTGCCTGCATTTTCCTCCCAGCCTGCACTTCAGACTCCCTCCAGCAAACCATCCCCAGAATCTGCACTCCCACCCCCTCATACACCCTTCTAGAGGTCAGGGTACCCCAGTACATTAGTCTCAGTGATCCAAAGGGAAGAGAAATGTGATGAGGACAAGAGCAGCTAGCCTTTTAGTCAGGCACTGATTGGGCTGAGGGTTTTACATGCATGTGTTGTATTTCTTTGTTGATGTTATTTTCAATTTAAGAAGGAAAGAGTCCTGAAGAGATTAAGTAAACTGTACAAAACATACATTTAAACTCAGGACCACATTACTCTAAGAAAAGCCTATGATCTTTCCTTTTATTTAAAACAGGGTCTTTGTAGTTCAGGCTGGTCTTGAACTCACAACAATCCTCCTGCTGCAGTCTCCTGAGTACTGGGATGACAAGCGTGTGCCACCATACCCAGCTAGATCTTTCTTTTTCTTTTGTTTTGAGACAGTCTCCATAGTTCAGGGTGGCCTTGAACTCACTGTGTAGTCAGGACGGTCTTAAACTTGTGGATATCCTGCCTCCTGCCTCAGCCTCTGGATTGTATCACCACACCTAGGCCTATAGTCTTTCCACTCCGTTAGGCTGATGTTTAGATTTCACAAAGTTAGCTCCTACCTACCTAGGGCTTATAGAACAAAATTATGAACTCAAAACATTAAAATCTGATTTGTGACTTAAAAAGAAAAGGCATCAAAATTAAAGTCACCAAAACATCCAGTAAAGAATATCTCCCAGGATCCCCCAGGGGAAACGTAATGGAAGTCAGACTGCCATTATCAGTACATGCTGTGCAGGCTGCGGCAATTTTATTGGATTCTCATTTTAGCTCAACTCCAATGTTACACAGGAACTGCAGGAGACCCTCCTTAAAACTAACAAACTCTGGAATTGCTTTTGGCAAAAAGAAATTACTTAGACTGCTAAGGGTTAAACTTAAGACAGTGGAGATATGGAACAACAAAATCAAACTCAGGGAAGAATGGGAAAAGGCCCAGGGTAAAGTAGACAAGAGGAGCAGCAAATGGGGCAGAGTCTCAGATAGTGGAGAAAGACAGGAGCAGTTCAGGGTTCAGCTACTTATCCCCTGGGTCTTTATCCAGAGCAGAAGCTCCCACCCCAGAACAGAGTGCCTACGCCTGCCTCCCCCGACATTCAAGGGGATCCTAGCCACAGCCTTCTGTATCACAAATCACCACCAGTTCCCTGTTGCTTACATTCTTATCCTGTTTTTAATTTCCTCTGTTATCAAACCTGCAGACACAGACTACTTGCTGAGATCCTCAACCTAATCTCAGGGGTTTTGCAATCTGACCTGAAAAGAGGTGAGGCTTAAAGAAATACAGGGACTCTGACGTGGTGACCAGCACTGCCCTGAGGCAGCTGCAGGACGAATGGGTGTCTGGGGCTCTGGCAGTTAAGCTGCAGAGTACAAGACCAGCAGGGCACAGCGAGGGAAGCATACAGAGCAGGATGCGGCAGGAAGGTCAAATGAGCACAAGGGCAACAGAGGCAAGGAGAAGGGAAGCTAGGACAAAGACAAAGGGGCGAAGGGGCAGGCAGGAGTATATCAGCAGCACGAACCCACTCACGATTCTCAAAGTAAAACTTATGGAAATCCATCCCCTCCACGAGGTTACCAAGGGCCTCAGGTTCAAATGAAGTGAGGCCTGGGTCACAAATCTTCCTGCAGGAAAGAAAGGAAAACAAACAAACAAACAAAACAAACAAACAAAGAGGTTGTCAGGCATAGGAGTTACAAGTCTTCCTCATCAGTGGAATCTGCCCCACAGCAGCAGGGTGGGTATGGGCCATGCTTCTGGGCTCAGTCTCAGGTCATCTGCCTGAAAGGGCTCCTAGCCGAAGAGGTTCTAGTTTAACTCAAACATTGCCTAAGCCCAACTCACCCTTTCCTCACAGTCCCAGCTGCTTTTCTGGGACCAGAGAAGGCCTTGAGGGATGACCTATGTCTCAAGGAATGGATCTCTACTCACGTGTATGCCTCAAAGTCCCCATTGTTGATGGCTTCAATCAGCTGTTCTGTGATCTTAATTATCTCCTGTTTTCGCACTGCAGAGGAAAAAAAAAAATCCACCAATTTACCTGCTGGGCAACGTCTTACATGACAGAGAGCCCTGTTCAATCCCTTAGGGTGTTCCCTGTGATCCCTTTGTCAAAGACATCCCTCTTCTCTGCCTTTAAGGCCTTCTGCAGAAGGAGCAAGCCTACCTCTCCCTCTATATCCTCTGTGGTGGTCAATGACCACCTCCTCTCAGAGCCCACTCATTAGTTACAGTTTTCTGGCCTTTACCTTCCCTCTCCATCAACAAGGTCACAGAAAACACTTCTCTTTAATAGCTGAACACCATGAATGCTCTACCAGTCTGTGTAACTGACCCCCAGCAGTCCAGCCCGAGAAGCACCTCCCAACACAACAGTTTCCACTCTGTCCCCGCTTTCTCTCACCCTCAAGGGGCTGTGGATCTCAAATGCTACCCTTACTCTGAGCCCTCAGTCAGGGTCCAGAACCCATCCTTGGGCAACAGGCAGCCTGAGGGCATAATCTAGTTAGGGATGAGGGCTCCAAAACAATGAATAGAGCCCTAGGATGGACGCTGAATTCTCTTTGCCCTACTTAGTCTCTTCCACAGGCTTGGCCGGGATAAGGGATCTTGGAACTGTGAAAAATCCTGACAGCCTCTTGTCAGAGGCTCCATTTACCCTGGACAAGCCTTGGAAAAGCTATAAATCACACCAGCTCTCATGTCAGGATGTGTCCCTCAGGGAAACCCAGGCAAAGCTCAGACAGACAGGCACTTGATTCCCTCAGAGACTCCCATCCCTTCTCAAGCCAAGGGACAGCTGGTGACATCCCGCTGTCATGGGCAGCTCAGCTACTGGGAGTGCCACTATTAGCAGGGGTGTCACCTAGGTAAGGGAGGGCTTTAACCAAGCTCGGGCTAACCTGGACCCCCTGGACTGGCCTAGGCCACAAACCTTTCCTCACAGGAGCAAAAGGCTACAAGACAAATGCAAGCATCAGGACAGCACCAGCATGGCACAGCTGGGCTAGTACAGCCAAGGGTCCCAGCTGGGAGCGGGTAGCACAGCCAGAAGTGCCCCCACCACTGGTCCAGGGGTGCAAGGGGAACAAGCAGCCGGTTAGGAGAACCGGCAATAAACTCCACTTCTTTTCTGAAGAAGCAAGCAGGTATGTCCACACAACACAATCTTACTCCAACCCACCAAACCCATCTAGAGGACCTGAGTGGGGCCCCGTGGGTAAAAAGGATCGAGTTCAGAAACTACATAGAGAGATGTGGGAGGAAGAGAAGCAGAGGCATCCTCCAGTACAGACAGAAGTATAACTGTAAGTACCAAAAACTGAGGCACTGTTTCAAGATCCTCCCTATCACTTATTTTTCACAAGATTTGATGTAGACCCCACCCCACTACCAGAAAGAAAACTGAAGTTTTGAGAAGCCAAGCTACTTCCATGCTTCTGAAGGTTGCATGGCTGGGATTTAATCTCAGATCTGTCTCACCCTGAGCCCCTTGTTTTGAATGTGACATGAGGTGGAGCCTCAGGAAAACCTACCCCAACACAGTTCCCCAGCTACTGCAATTTCACCACGGACCCCCGAAGACCTGGCTTCTGCCTCTGCCCTTTTTCCTGGCTGCTGCCAAGGCCAGGCCCACTGTACACCCCAGTGCTTTCTACCCCCTCCCTCCATGCCATGTCCTTCCACCCACTCTCAAGGTATTTCTCTGGCCCCAGACTCAGGGACCCCGTCTGGCATTAATGGTGTCTCCAGCTGGTTCCCCACCCCAGCAAAGGCTGTACTCCTGAAGATGTGCAGTTGGGTTGGGCTGACAGCTCTGGGGGTGGGGTCCCTGAGGGGCTTCAGGACGAGCCAGGGAGTTGGAAGCCAGAATGTGCCTCCCTCACACTTACTGGCTGAGGAGCAGAGAGAAGGCTGGGGCTGCATGCCTGCAGAGGGGGCTGTTCTGTCCCAGGAGCTCCGTCCTTCAGGCACCGAGCTGCCATTCCCAGTGCGGAGCGGGGCAGCTAGCCAGCCAGGGCAGGGCAGGGCAAGGCAGAGCAGCCAAAACAAACAGAACAAGGCAGGTGAGCGAGCAAGCCGGACAGGACCCGAGCCCGGGGCGCTGCAGAGCCAGGGCAAGGTGACACTTCAGGCTGCTGTGGACACCGGACCACACCCCATTCCGCCACCTCTGCCAGAGGCCTCCCAGTCAGAAGCACCAGGAAGGTGCACTGACCCGGGCATATGGCTTCCAGGCGAGCCTTAAACAGCCTGTACAGGGACCCCTGCTCCCGGGAACACATTCAAGGGCCACAAGGTCAAGAGCCCAACATGAAGGGCACCTTCTACTTCGCCAGCAGCGCCACAATTGAACTAATCTGACCTGACTCCCAGCAACCCTGGTGGTAGTATTCATTCTCACTGTATGTTTCTACTTTTTTTTGGCACCGGGAATTGAACTCAGGTCCCTGCACTTGCAAAGCAGGTGCCGGAACCACTGAGCTAAATCCCTAGCCCTGTATGTTTCTACTTTTGATTTTTTAAAAAAAATTTCCAAAAGTTTGGGTGCCTCTTACTGCCCATGGACAATGTCTCTCATTTCTGGCCCTTCAACATCCTCCATTTTCTGTGACGCCTGGCTCAAGGTAACTTTCTGAAGGCAAAGGGAGCGATTCCAGGAGGCTAACTCAAAGAAGAGGACAGAGGATCCCACTGGTCAGGCCTGCGTTCTTCCCACACCCCACGACACTCTAGCCAGCCTCAAGCCTGGGCTGGCAGTCCTCGTGGCCCACCAAGACACAGCTGAATGTGGGGTCACAGACATCAGATCAGTTCCAACTCCATCATCTATGGCCAAATCTCGGGACTAGAGCAACCAACTCATCCCAGTGGGCCTGAGACCACCTTGGTCTTGTCTTTTCTTTCTTTTTTCTTCTTTTCTTATCCTCCCTCTCCTTCCCTTTATTCTTTTCTCTTTTTCTCAACTTTTTTTATGTGCTGCTGAGGATTGAATATGCAATCAAATGCTCTACCACTGAGCTATATACTTTCAGTCCTTATCCTAGTCGTAAAACTGATGGTGTCACATTCTAGGAAATCTCCCAGGGAAAACCAGGACGACTGGGTGCCCTGCTTCTGCAAGGGACCCAAGATGCCCCTGTTGTTGGATACCACATAATTGTTAGTAACAGGAATGCTGAGCCCTGGCCCCAGGAAGAACTATTTAGCTAATCTAGACTTAGGTCAAATAAGAAAGGACTTTTGTCCAGCCCAGCAACACCAGACAGGAGCCTTCTATCTTGGCTCATGGAAAGAAGTTTTTTTTTAATGTGTGTGTGTGGGGAATTGAACTCAGGACCTTGCACTTGCCAGGCAGGCGCAGTACCACTGAGCTACATCCCTGGCCCAGAAAGCCATTTTCTTGCCAAAACCTCTTCTGGGTATGAGCATCCACCAAGCCCTGTTCTTGAGACAGACAAGGCATGTGCCCCATCAGAGCTGAGGTACCTGAGTCACCACCGCTGGGGTCCTTTCCCCTCCAAGGACCAGCACCTACCTTTGAGGTCCTCGTCTTCTGTAGTAGTGTTGCAGCTCTCCGTGGAGCCCTGTGGGCCAAAAGAACATGTTCTATACACTCAAAGCTTGGAAACTCAAAGGAACAAGCAAAACAAAAGCAGAGCATGGGCTACCATGCGAGGTGCCGTGAGGAATCATAGAAGCTTCTTGCTTCCTGACTTATAAAACTCTGGGCTCTCAAATGCCTGTCCTACTCTTCCCCAACTCGGTAAATTACCTTATCTACCCAGTTACTCAACAGATGAAAACCTGCAGTCATCCTTGATTCTTCTCTCTCTTTTCCCCAAATATATACAGATTTGGTACCACGGATCAAACTAGGGTCCTTGAGCTTGCGAGGCAGACGCCAGAACCACTGAGCTAAATCCCTGGTCCTCTTTCCCTTATGTTCTAATCAACCAACCTAAAATAAAATCTTTTGGTTCTGGCTCCAAAATAAATCCCATGTCTCCTTTCTTCTCTTCTAATGCATGGCTACAGCCTGAGTCCGAATAGCCAACAACTCACACCTGAACCACTACAGCAGCTCCCAGGTCTCCCGTCTGCTTCTCTTGCCTTCTCCCTCAAGTTCTTACCCCAAAAGTGGCCACACACATCTTTTACAGGGCATATTTATGTTACTCCCCTGCTAAAAACTATTATCTTCTTGGGCCAGGGATTTAGCTCAGTGGTTCCGCTGCCTGCCTTGCAAACGAAAGATCCCGAGTTCAATCCCTGGTACCCAAAAAAAATGAAACAAACAAAAAAAACCCTAATAGCTTCTTGTGCTAGAATAAAGGTGCAAAAGCCACTACAGGCCTTGCCTGCTTTTCCACCAGCACCACCCTCCTGACTCTCTGACCCTTGCTCATCTCATCTGCTGATCTTGACTCTGAAGCCCTTCCACAGGCCAGGCCTCGGCACTTGCAGACTCTGTCTAGAGCACCAGGACTCACAGCCTACCTGGCTGCCTCCCTCCTGCTGCCACTGAGTTTCTAGATCTGCATCCACGCCTGAGAACCCATTCCCTGACCATTTAATTAAAGGCCCTATTCACTGTCTCTTTACTTTGGGCCACTTTTCTCAGAGCACTTATCACTACTGGATTTTATCTTGATTACTGATTTATTATTCCCCTTCCCCAATTTGTAATGTCATCTCTGTAAACCAAAGTCATGGGTGGTGCTTGGTGGGCTCATATATTTACCAATGTTAGTGAAAACACAGAGTATGCGGGGGCATGGCACAATGGAGGTCTGGTTATATCCTTGCCTTTTTTTAAAAAACTAACATCTATCTCACTAAACTTCACAACTCAAGGGGAAGATTCCATTATTTTTCACCCCCAATTTACAGATAGGAAAAGAGAGGTACAGAATGATTAAGTGATTTTCCCAGGGTTTCAAGAACAGGACCCAGACCAGCCTGACCTTGGCAAACACCCAGCCTCAGGAAGCAGCGTGCAGGTGCCCATCTGCAGGGCTCAGACCCATCCCACTTCCCTCCCGCTATTCCAGAGAGCAGGGGACTGGTCAAGAGCCGCTCACTCACCTTGATCCCATCTGTAGCATTGTGTACCACGGTGGTTTGTGGTTCCTGTGAGAGAAGATAAAATAACCCTCCTGATTTGGAGCCAGACCTACAGCTCTTCCCTGAAGGATCCCACCATCACCCAAATACACCCCAGAGACCCTATGATGACCACTGAAGCCAGGCCACCAGCCTTCCCCATGGGACAAATTCTGGCTCAAGTGGGTCTCGGGTAGCTGGGAAGCCCAGAACTTAGGCACTATCACTGGGTGCTAAGAAGCAGCAGCCTGGCAGAAGCAGGTACCTGGGACACCAGGAGCCTCTGTCCCTGATCCTTACTACTTCTGAAGGTTCTTTCTGGAGAGAGGTCCCATAAATCAAGTACACAGAGAAGCTGTGGGACTCAGAGCACGGGCAAGGTCCTGCCAACAATGTTCACCAAGGGGTACACAGGAGGCAGAGACACAGGGGGAGCAGAACCCTAAGGTCTCCCAGAAAGACTCAGGATGTCCTCTCAGCAAGCTGAACCGTGCGAGCTGCCCACTTCTCCTACCTCCTGCCTTCTCCAGGTGGTCCTTAAGAGTCTGCAGGAAGCCAAGGTCACTGCAGGCACGATCAGCCTTCCTCTCCCCCAGTTTCCCCCTGCTAATTTGCTAGTTAGCCACTCTACTTAGCAGAGGGAGCTCTCAGAAACGGCACCCCTTAGAGAAGCTGAGAGAACTCAGACGGAGATCTCTAGACTCCCAGAGACCTCAGCACCTAGGCATAGAGGAGCCCAGCCCTGCTTCTAGTTTTTGCCACTGCAAAGAAAAGGCCAAGCCAACAAGGCCTCCTCTACAAGGAACTGATGTACAAGTCCCAAGAAAGATCCTACCCTCTTCTTTAATAAGCAACTCATTTTCCAAGCCCCCAAGCAGACCCATTAGGGGGCCCAGCTGGGCCTGGGAGTTTTGGCTGAGAGCCCTGATCACACTTCCCCCACAACAGCAAAAGGAGCAGGAACAGCGAGCAGTTCTGCCATGCAGGACAGAGCATGGTCAAGCGGGACAATGAAGGGCAAAGTACCTACAGGGCAGCACACAGAGCAGCCTGCTCTACAGGGTCAGAAGAGGAAAGAGGCTAAGGAGTCCTGCAGGGGAGGGCAAGAAGAGGGAAGGCACAGGAGGCAGCCAGGGGCAGAGGCAGAGAAGCTGTAGTCAGGAGGTACCATGGCCGTCTGCAAGGACGCAGGCTCTTGGGCTGGGCTTACGAGACTGTTTTTGTTGTTGCTCTGTGGCTGAGACAAGAAAACAGATGGTTTAGTTCCTCCTGAGTCATCAAAGCCACTCAGGTTCAACTCCCAGACCTCCCTTGTCCCCTGGCCTGGCCTGGAGAAGCTAGGCCTGGGTGGCCACCAGAACACTATGCAGATGGAAGCCATAGTTGGAGAGATGATCAGAGTAAGGGAGTATTTGGAAGGCCCCAGAGACCTAGCTATCTAGCTCTTAGAGGCATCCTCAAGATGGGACCAGACAAAGACTTGTTTTAAAGCATTTCTCTAGAAATCTCTGCTTATTCCAGGTGTCATATCATTACACAATCAAACCTGACCAAAGAAATTCAGGCTCTTCTCCCCACTTTACAGGTGAAAAAGATAGTGCTTTATAAGGAAACAACAAAATTTAGAAACTCTGGCTCCCCTCTCTGTGGGCAATGTCTTGCTGCCCTTTTACCAGGCATTGACATTTCCTTCCCTTAAAATACCAGCTTGAAGCCTGATCTAAAGAGAAGAGGAAGAGCAAGAATACCTGACCTAGGGGAAGGTATCAGAGAGGAAAGGGAGAGAATTCAACTTTGGGTATGAAATATATCCGTGGGCCCCAGGGAGCAGAGGCAGGGCTAAGGCAGGGCTATGACCTTCTTCTGCTCAATAAATCTTGGACTTGATCAGGTGCAAATGAGGGCAGAGCTCCAAAGACGGGCAGGTAAATCTCGGTGGGGGCCGTGGCCATGGCCCAGAATCCAATCCCCAGGAAACAGCAGGCTGTGGCAGACAGGCCAGCATTCCTAACAGCAGCTCCACCACCAGGGACATCTCCTTGCCTTTCAGAACATCACAGAATAGCAGAGCCAGGGAGGGAAGTGGGAAGGCTGGAGAGGAAGAAAGGAGGCCAATCTCCAGGGCAAGGAGCCATTATCAATGCTCTCTGCCTCTTATGATTCCCCAACCAGAGTATTCAGTCTCACTGGGTGTCCCAGGGGAGTCTCCCCTGAGCAGCCTGATGCCTGCAAGTTCTTCAACAGGTAGAGACAAAAATGTGTGGCTGCTGCCCCTGCGCAGGGCAGAATGAGGACATGTTAAGAGCTAGAATGTGCTCCTTCTACACTAGGACACACACAGAAGGAATCCAGACTGCTCTACATCTTGCCTGGAGGTCTCCTGGACCATCCCCGCCAAACTCAGGGCTACGCCTGGAACCTTAAGCGCCAAGTGCTGCAGGATGCTGATGGACTCTCTGCGGGCTGGAAGGAAGAGTCCCTGCAGGGTCCGGCATGGGGGCCCAAACCCCTGTGAGCTGTTTTGTCCAATCCACCAGGAGAGCATAGCCCTCCTACTTCAGCAGCTGACGCTTACCTCCTGTTCAGGGCTGACAGATAAAGGCTGCCCTGTTCACAAAGCCCAGCTGATACCAAGACTTTTGCCGGGGACAAGGACTCTAAGGTGCCTATAAAACCTGCGGAGCCCCAGGGAGAAACCCAAATAACCCCACCTTTGATTTTTAATGGATAGTTTCATAATGACTCAGACTGCTGAATTCCCCTTGGTGCCTTGGGTCCTGTGAGGAAGACATACGCACTGCAGTCTGTCAGCTGTTCCCAGAGGCTGGGTGTACAGGATGAACACTGGGCCCTGCCCAAGTAGGGGAGTTGCCCATGGGAAAAGCCAGGTGAGTAAGGCTCGGAGCCAGAGCCTACAGTCCACCCCTCTGCCCACCACACAGCTGCCCACAGGCTATAGGTCTGCGTGTGGCAGCTGAACACTTCGAGTGAGCAAGGCCTCGCTGCCTGAGTGACAGTGAGGCTTTTCCAGAGTTTGCCACCTGCAAGTCCCTGCCAGCTTCACTCCCTGCCCTGGGCTGTGAGGAGCCGTCCAACCTCAACAGCAGGGGGTGCCGCTGCACAACTTCCAAGCCCATGTGTGAGGCCACTAGGTGACCTTGGGCAGTGGCCCTGGCCTGGCAGGACAGGCCACACCTGCCCACACAGCACAGACATGCAGTGAGGATGAGTGAAGCGCGTGCACATGGCAGAATGGGTCTGCGCGGCTGGCAGGAGAGCACAGGCAGCATGAGGTGGGCGGATGGGTGGGCAGGCAAAGCTCACCATTAGGTGCACGCTGGAGCTCGACTTCCTTTTCTGGACACACCACAGCAAAAGGGAAAGAGAAGGGGAAAGAGGAGGTAAGAAGAGAAGCACAGAGACACTGCAGGTTAGTGCCCCAGCGTGGGCTCTGCATTGTGGGAGAAAAGAGTAGAAGAAGTCCAGCACTAGAGAGATCCACACAGCACGGAGAACGACAGGCACACCCACCCCAGACCCTGGCAGGAAGAACTGTCAGGGTCACAAACACAGATTTAGTGTATTCTGAAGAGTCTCAGACTTGCTCACAGAAAGCTTCTTAAGGAGATTAAGTTACAAGTCTGCGAGGGCAACATCTGGCTGCTGCCAATTTACAGGTTTGGTTTACAAGGTTAATGCCACTCAGAGGGCATTTACTTTCTCTCACGGCTAAGTCTGTCTCTAATTTGAGTGAGCAGCTACCAGGTAAGTAGTGAAAGCTTCTACAGACTTCCTTGGCTTCAGTCACATACGATTTCTCAACCCAGAACTTGCTGTACACCTAAACTGCTGTTTAGATAAAGATGTCCAGGTTTCTGAAAATTCTCTCAGTTAAATTTTGGCATCTTCTTTGTTGGTTTGGCCATGTTTGTCTGAAAGATCTGACTGTTTAGATGTATTTTGTGATTACCGGGAAAAGGAGATGTTTTACCAGTAGGCTGGTGATTTTAAATGTGCAGTGCTCATAAAGATGCAGACATGTAAGACATGGGAAATGTTGAAAGCATTGATTTCTTAGCCTCACTAGATGCTCATGGATATTATGTCCAGATGTGAAACGAGCATCAAAATAAAGACCACACGGCACACTACAAATATACCTCAAAGGGCTCTGTCTAAAGGTGAAGGGGAAATTATGAATGTTATAATCACCCCACTGGGAGACAGAAGTTCTCTTAGAACATGTCTGTCTGTTCAACTTTTGCTTTTGCTTTTTGTGGTACTGTGGATTGAATTCTGGACCTCACACATGCTGGGAAAATGCTCTACTACTGAGCTACACCCTCAGCCCTGTTGACTTTTGTACGTGCATTTACCAACATCAGCAAATACCCAAGGCTGTTCTGGACACAGTAGCACCTCTGATAAATTATTTCTGCCCTCTGGGGGCTAAGATGCCATTTTCAAAGTATTTTGGAGGATGTATCATAATCAAAAGAAGAGGGCTACAGAGTTTAAAAGAATAGTCCAAAGTTTAGAATTTGATCTAAAGAAAAAACGTAAGTAATATCCGGCTTCTTTCGTGCTGGCCTTTTTTTTTTTGGTACCAGGGATTGAACTCATGTCCTTGTGCTTTCAGGGCAGGCGGTAGAATCACTGAGCTAAATCCCCAGCCTTGCACTGGCCTTTTGAATGTGCTCAAATATGAGAAGAGGGTGTTAGCTAGGCATGGTGGCACATCCCTGTAATCCCAGCAGTCGGGAGGCTGAGGTAGGATCACAACTTTGAGGCCAGTCTGGGATACATGGTGGGTTCAAAGCCAGCCTGAATTACAGAGTGACACCTTGTCTTTAAAAAAAAAAAAAAAAAAAAAGAGGTTGTTGCCTTATATTCATACCTATCTTCCTTCCTATCTCCTTATCCTTTTACCCAGAGTGCCAACACTCTGAAGGAAGGTCCGTGTGTTTGTTATATATTCCTGTTAACTCCACAGTACCTACCAAAATGCCTTACAGTTCGCAGAAGGTCAACAGTATGTGCTGCTCCCCACCCCTTCAAGGCTACAGCAGCATCTAGGTTTCTAATGGGCACTGAGTCGCCCCAGTGAGAAATCGCAGGGCACCATGCAGGTTCAGTCTTGCTTCTCCTCGTTTTCACGGGCTGGCTGTCAAGGCCACTGCAGTCATTTTCACCTGCCCCTCACCTTAAAGCAGACCTTCAGCTGTCTGCTTCAACATCATGGGGAAATGCAGGCAGCCTCCTCCTAGCTGGCTCTCTCCTTCCTCAACTGTCCCGAAGGGTATCTCGAGCTCACCCTTTTCTACTCCAAGGCTGTTTCCCAGGCTAGTGCACATCTTGAGCTCCTCTCTGTCCTTTCTGGGCACACAGCCGGGCTCCTGCTCAAGCAGCACACTGCAGCATTGTTGAAATGCCAGATCACTTTAAAGAAGCGTGTCTTACTTTCACATAAAAACCACATATATGGGTTTAAAATTTTACACCAGAAAAGGCTTCAAGCCTCCGTTCCATACTTAATTTTCCCCAATACTTCAACAAATATTCAAATAATACTTAAGAAAGTAACTATAACCATTTTCTCTAGTTTGCTTCCTATTTTTTTCCGTTAAAGCTTAAGATGGCATTTCAGGCCTGGCACTAACACAACACCAAGGTGTCCTAGATGAGGGGCCTCTTGGAGCCAAGCATTTGTGGCCTCTTCAGTCCTGTCCTTGGAGGTGACTCTCTATTTTCCACAGCCCAAGTCACTGGCATGCTACCTTCAAAGAAATCTAAACAGAACCCAAAGTCCTTAAATTCAAGAGCACAAGATGACTACCAGTCAAAGCCAGGTGAGGGCTCTGAGTATTTGCGGAGAGCTTCTGAAGAGCAGGAAACCTGCCTATGGATGCTCAGCAGGAGGAAGGAACACAGGATGCAGAAAGCCCAGGACCTCTGAGCACCTTCACAGACCCCCTCCTAGCACAGATCTCTACCCATTCCAAGAGCCCAGAAGGGTCACACTCTGCTTAGGGCGCTCACTCCCTTTTCTCAGTTCTTTCACACAATCACATCATTAATTGTTGTATGCTTGTTTCTGAGTTTAAAAGGACCAGACACATCGCAAACAATGGAAAACATAAAGAAAAAACATCTAAACTCTTACTGCTCTTCTGTCTTTTACTTTATACAATTTTAAAATGTCTTTATGCCTGGCATGGTGGTGCATGCCTAGAACACTAGCACTCGAGAGGCTAAGGTAGGAGGATTGCCAAAAGTTTGAGGCCAGCTAAGTTTCATCATCCAGTGAAGTTATGATAAATACTTCAGTGGTCTTTAGTTTTTATGTCCACATATTATAGATTAAATAATATTTACAAACTCACTACATTTTAAAAACAAAACGTAACGTATTTCTTTATATTCCATCCTTTTTACTTAATAGAAAACACTTCCCCATTAAAATTTCTACTTAATATAAAACATTTCTGTCACTACATAGTCATGAAAATGAATCACTTTGTAATAATCTATGAAGTGGACTTCCCATAATTATCTAGTCAATTCCATGCTAGTTTTTGAAACGGTCTCAAGTTTCGTGATAGCTATGAAAATAATTTCATGTTGAACATCTTTCTGCATACAGCTCTTCCCTATTTTGAATTATATCTTTAGGAAAAGAATTACAAAGACTACCAGAAGGAGAATGCCATGTGGTGGTGCACACTTACTGTCCCAAGTACTTGAGAGGCTGAAGCAGGAGGATCGCCAAATTCAAGGCCAACACGGGCAACTTAGCAGTAAAGTGCTTTCCTAGCATGCGCAAGGTCCTGGGCTCAATCGCCAGTACCACAAAAAAATAGGAGGAAAAAAGGCAACTTGTTTTTCTGACACTAGTAAGGCTAAAGTTTTTCTCCATTTGTTATCCAGGTCTATATCCTCACCTCCAGATGGTCAATTCACTCTTCATCATCGTTCTACCGGGCTTTAGAGGAATTCTCGTTTCTTAAGAGAAACTGTTTAATAAAAGAATTCCCATTATACCTGCTGGAAGTATTTTCCCAGCCCATCTGCCACTGGCCCTTTGTTTTCCTCATTGAGTTTATTGGTACATTTTAGGTATACAGTACAGTCACATTCATCATTGAGATCTTGTACCTTTACCTGACAGGTCTTGGTTCTCATTTTTTCCCCTTGTCCCTGGCCCTCCCTTCACCCTGTCACTGGCCTTTTAATTTTGGTTATTCTTATCTTAAACACCTGCTCCCAGCCTCTGGTCTCACTGTGCTACTGAAACTTTTTTTCTCGAAAGAGAATAGCATAAACGCTCTTCTGGAGCACGTATCAGGGTTAGATACACACAGGGTTACCTCGCCAGTGCACCCTCATCTAAAGCAACTTATCAAAAAAAACAAAACAAAACAGGTCCATAAATTATATATGAAACATAAAAAAAATAAATAAATAAAGCAACTTATCTAATTTTGTCTGCCCCACCTCCTCCTCGGTGCTCCCGTAGGATCTGACATTTCTGCACACTTCTGTTCTCCCATCTCTTTGTTCTTTCCCCCATTTCCTTTGCTGATACCTCTTCAGCACCTTATTAACAGACAACCCGCACATTTCCTTTTCACTAGACTCATTTGCTTTTTTAGAAAGGACCTCACTGTGTAGCTTGCTTAGGCTAGCTGCCTCAGCCTCCCGACTGCGATTACAGGTGTGCACCACCATACCTGGTTTTACTACTCTTAAACATTCAGTTCTTTAGGTTTGTATAAAGAAGGCAGAGTACTAAAATTTAATGGTTGGTTCTGTCTCCCACTCAAGGCCTCTAGAATCTGAATTCCAGGCCACACCCTGGAATCTGTATGTATGTATGTGTGTGTGTGTGTATGTATGTATGTATGTATGTATGTAT